CGCTTTTTTCGGGTCGGTTCGGATCGGTTCGGTCGATTTTTTCGGTTTGAACCGAACCATGCTCAGCCCTACTTCCAACATTACTCCTTAAGATCTCTCTCATGTATAGCTTTAACAAGCCATATTGCTTCTTAAACAAACCATCTACTACATTCAAAGCCCTACTCTTTGCCCTCCTACATTTCCTTAAATCCACTATGATCTCATATTGTGTTTTCATGTCTGCTTTCATGTCTTTGGGCTTGAACTTAGGATCCCTTAAAAAATTATCAATAAATTTTCCTACAAGCCAACCTTCAGTGATTAGCCTATTCTTGAATGTCCTGCTACAAGTATGATAATGGTGCATACTATTGATTTTCCAAGCACTAGCATCATCACGACATGGTGTAGCATTTAGCTGCCAATGACAGAGTGCACAATTCACATTCAACTGCCTCTTATCATTTTTTCTATAAACAATGTCATAGTGTTCTTGTATGGAGTAATTCAATATTGCTTCTTTTAATATTTCCCTTGACGTGAACTTCAATCCTACTGTCAATTTAACATTTTTCATGTCAATTTCTTCATTAAAAAATGGATATTTGACCTTTGCTGCTTTTTTTGTAAACTTTGGACAAGAGTTTCATCCTCATCACTTGCCATTATGGGACCTTCATCACCACTTGATCTAGGATCTGATTAATATCCACCATCATAATTTGTAAAAAATCTGGTCATGACTGTTGTTGTGATCGTGCTCTTGAATGCACTCCTTCATGGGGTGATGTTGGTACATTAGCATTAACCACTCGAGGGGGTCTGACAGTGTTAAATTGAATGGAGTTACCTGCATAATTATGGGACCTTCATCACCACTTGATCTAGGATCTGATTAATATCCACCATCATAATTTGTAAAAAATCTGGTCATGACTGTTGTTGTGATCCAGCTCTTGAATGCACTCCTTCATGGGGTGATGTTGGTACATTAGCATTAACCACTCGAGGGGGTCTGACAGTGTTAAATTGAATGGAGTTACCTGTACCAACACCATCTGCAATATGTGATATTGCAGATGTGCCTAAAAATGAAGACTTGAATCTTATAAAAAATTGCATTTCATCTTTAGATTCAACTTTAAAAATATGCATTAATAACCATAAGAAACTTATGGACAAGTGTGCTAAATCTAGTCAAATAGACCATTGTTTAAGAATGTTTCTCATTTGCAAAATAATTTTAAAAGAAAATCTTTATTTGCAAATGATTCCCGTGCACGAGCTAATGGTCCACAAAAACAAATGGATCTCTTTCATTGCACGTATTGCAATCGGAAGGGTCATTTGAATGAATATTGTTTTGACCATATTAGTGCACCACATATACCTAAGAGGGTTCATAACCCTAAGGTTTTGAGCTTAAATGATAGGGGTCATGTCCCTAAATCTTTTGGTACCAAGAGTTCTTGGGTACCAAAACAAATTTAATTTTTTAAACCAAGAATTTTAATGTTTTTATCTTTCTTTTTCTTAGTTTTGAAAATTATGCTTTAAAATCTTTTGATTATGAAAACAAATTTTTAATTGATTAAATCTTTTTTGTTTTCATGATTATTTGTTTTGATTTTGATAAGAGGCTTGCGTTTATATAACCCTCCGGAGTTATTGGGTGTTTACTCCCTAACATTGTTTACCGGGTGCTAAAAATATTTATATGGGTTATTATTAGCTCAAGAGCTAGATATGATTGCCTCTCTTGATTTTTTTTAAAAAAATCAATGATAATTTGGTTTTATGTGATTTACTTGTGATTTATGATTTCATTTGGTTGAATTTGTTTTCACTTGAAAACCTTTTTGCATGACTCTCATGTTCTTCTTCTTTTGACTTCAAAAATCTTTTATACATGCTTTATAGGTTTTTGTCATGAGACACCATTTTATAATGACATATCTAATTGTGTTCTCATTGCCTTTTTGTATGTGAGTGGTGTTTAGCATATTTCTCATTTATGCTTGCTCACATATGTTTGCCATGATATTCATTGCATATATTCCATATGGCTTTTTGATAGGGGGAGCAATCTCTATACTTGTTAGATACTCACCTATGCTTATTTGTAGGGGGAGCTTTCGCTCTCTTAATTCTTTTGTCCCCTTTTTGATGTTGTCAAAGGGGGACATCAAAAAGGGGGAGATTGTTGGCCTTCTTGTTTTGATGATGTTTAACAAACAATTTATCACTAATGTTGTTTGTCTAGTATTTGTGTTTTCGTATTTATTGTAGACAAACAACGTTGTTGGAGGATGGATGGAATAGAGCTTCAACGATGATATCCAATGGAGGTTGGCGGAATGTCGGGTTGAAGCCTTGCAATTCATAGTTAAAGATCAAGTTCAAGCTTCATCCGCAACGTGTACCAAGTCAAGCTTAATTGAAGATCAAGATTGCTTGGGTAATGTAGTTTAGGATTTATATTATGTGTGTTAAGTACTCTAAGCTCAATTATCTATACACACACATTTTATTAGTTTCCTTGTATATATATGTAATCACATATATATACAACACAAGTTTTGGTTTTCATGTTTATAAATATGAAATTACATGTTTCATATTTATTATTGTGATTTGGTTTATCTACATAGATATGAAACAAATATATTTTCATATACATACTCATAGGTTTCATTTTCTATTGTATTTGTGAAAATATTGTATTCTTAGTTTATAGACTTCAATATCAGTTTATACATGTTTTACTAAGTCTATAAAAACATTTCACAAAGTTTCAAAAGTTGGTTTATGTCAAAACATCAAAATTCAAGTATCTCATATTTTCATGTTTTGGACTAGTTTGTGAAATGATGATATTTTTCATTTGGGAAGTCCTTTTTCGAAACCAGTCGTTGTAGCATGTTTATTATCATGTCTACAATCATTCCCCAAAGTTTTACATTTTTCTAAATTTATTTGATATTTTTAAACAGGGTTTTAAAATCAGCAAAACAGTTTTTAGTTTTCTGTCATATCTGTTTTCGGTCAACCGCACCGATCGACCGAACCTGAGGTCAAAAGTTTCCTGGCCGACAGAAGCCTGTCGGTCGACCGGTCCGGTCGACCGATGAAAATTTTCGGTCGACCGACGAATTTTCCGGTCGACCGACGAGTGATTTTTCTGCTTCCAACGGCTAGTTTTTTGACCGTTGCCTTGGGGCTGTTTTGTCTTTTGCTCTGGTTTGTTGGCTGAGTTGTGAGAGGGTATAAATACCCCATTGTCTTCAACTCTCAAGCTAACTAAGAAATGTTTTAAAAGAAAAGAAAAGTTTAATCAAGGGTTTAGGGTTTTACTGCTTGTTTTGAGTTTGGGTTTCTGTTTGCAAAGGAGAAAGTTTTCACTGCAGATTGAGGGATTCATTCTCAATCCCCTTCATCCTCTTCTTGTGTTCTTAGAGAAGTTTTCTAACTCTTTTCTCTAGTAATTTCATTATTGGTTTTCATATTCTTATTATTGCTAGTTTGTTAATTGAGTTAGATTTTATTTTACTCATTGTTACACACACCCACATTGAGCTTATAGTATTTGCATACATAGTATAGTTGGGTGGTGAGAGATTGTAACCTTGAGTTGTGCTTTCATTGTGTTCTCATCTATTGTAGAGAACAAATTTGTTGTATTTACTTTGTGAGTGTTGTAAGGTTTTCGGTGAGCTAGAAACCGAGTGTGTAGTGAGGTTTTCGGTGAGCTAGAAACCGAGTGTGTAGTGAGGTTTTCGGTGAGCTAGAAACCGAGTGTGTAGTGAGGTTTTCGGTGAGCTAGAAACCGAGTGTGAGGAGTGACGTTGATCGGTGAGCGTTGAAAACCGATACTGTGAGGTGTAAACGTTATTCGGGTGAACGTAGAAAACCCGGTTGATAGTGGATTTCTCCCCGGGAGTGGGGAGCGGAGACGTAGGACGGAAGGTCCGAACTCCGTGATCATATTGCTTGTTTGAGTGTGCTTTGGCGTTCATTCATATTTATGTTCATATCTTATATCGCCATTGTCATTAGCTCATTATCTATAGACTCACACCTTCCAACAACAGCATATCACAATCTTCCATAATAACTTCTGCAGGTTCATCAATGTCATGTTCAACATAGGTTTCAATTGCCTTCACCCTTTCTGCATGTTCTAGCATTTCAATGAAGGAACCTTCATCACTTAGAGACCTCAATCCACCATTTGCAACCCCTGCACCAGGAACACAATAGAACAAGCCGTTTACATTGTTATACCCAACTGTACTAATTTCATCAATCAATCTTTCTATGCTCAGATCCTCTTTGTCTATAAACCTAACATCAAATCTACCACCAAGATACTCTTCAACCAGCAATCGGGAAACTTCCTCCATGTCTGATTTTAACCAAGATTTGGAGACTCATCTGCAATATCACAATAAAAATCGTAACTCCTCACTAAACCTATCAAAAAACCCTAATTTACAATAAACCCATCAAATCTACCCTAATTAGTTTCAAAAATATGAAATTTCCACTCACCTTTTGCTCCGCGCCAAAGACAATAAAGTAGATGGAAGCCTTGAACTTTGATCGTCTGCAATTTGGGGATCATCACACTCTAGGGTTCTACGATTTTCTTTTGCAATTTGGGTAAGAGAGGGAAACTAAAGAATGGGAGTGAATTACTGCTCTTCTGCGATTTTTTAGACAAACCGCTCGCTTATTCCCGCTAAATATCACCACGCTGGAGTCCACGTCAAGGCCACGTCGGAGTCACGTGAGCTCTCGTATGAGAATAATGGTCGGAAAATTGACTCTGGCCAAACTTAAGGCCTATATAGCGCCAGAGTTGAAATTTTATACCAATCTGATAAAATAAAAAGAAAATATATCAACATGTCACCAGGCCTCTAGAAAATATACCAATTTGGTCATTTTGTCGTTTCCAATGTATTGTGAAACACAACTCTAAATGGGGCTGTTTGTTTGCTCAAAAGAAGAGGGAAATGGTGGATTTGAAAACTGACATTAGTGCCACATTGGATTTTGGTTTCGACACATTTCTAATTCTCACGTTTGGTTCGCTGATTGATTTAAAGAAAAAGGGGGCTGAAATGGGGTTCCACGTCACATTTATAAAAAATGCTATTTCAGAGGGTTGGGGGCTGAAATCACATGGAGATGTCCAGTCGGTGAATATAATAATTGCGCGGCCATTTTTTTGAGGCAGCGGGAAGGAAAACTAGGAAATCGATTAGGGTTCTCTTCACCGCCTTCCTCATCATTTTCGCCCTTCTGCCTCTTGCCCTCTCCATTGCTATGCGATTAAAAATAGTTTTCGCCACTATTTCTTCATCAATTTATATTTACAGCTGATGAAAAATCAAAGGAATGGCATGGACGATGACGATTCAGTTAGTTTTTGAGTGAACTCAGACAGATCTTGCAAAAAGGGAGGGTCTTTATGGTGATTTCTTCTTCTTCTTGTTGCTACGTCAGCAGATCTGCACCTGCTCAGTCTGATTCTCTACTGTTAATGAGGATTCCCTCACCTTCAACCGCAAGAGGTTCAATCTCTGTTTATTTTAACATATCCCTTGTTTTGAGAGCATTTTAGTGTTAAATTTTCAACATGAATAAAATTTTTAGTATTTTTCCTTCACATTTTATATGAGATTTGGGTGTTAATGTGTTCATAGTTACTGCTGCATGCCTATAGTTGAAGAAATTCTTAGTTAATTTTAACTTTTTCTCCAACTTCTGCACTTTCCAAATCCTTTGTTTATTTTTAATTTTTTAATTTTTTAATTTTTTAACCGAACAATTGATCATAGTTTTTCTTTCTTATTTTCTAAACTCAACTTGTGCAGGTCTATTTCCCATATCTGCAAACTTATTAAGTCAGATTGAGATTACAAAAAGCTATTTATCATGTTTGTTCTACAGTAAATTTCCAAGTTTAATCATCACATAGGAGGTTTAACTGTGTGACAATACCCATGATCTTATTTTTTTTCTCTCCTTATTAGTAGATAAATTTTCTCCTCACTTTGTGGAAGTAAAATTCTTGTTATTATTTTATCTTAGAGTGATCTAAAGTGGACTCCGACTGCTTTAAATTAATGTGATGTATAATACAATTATCTAAAATATTAAATTTGTGGTCCATAAAAACCTACCAAGCTCTAAAAACCTACCAAGTTCAGTAAAATATATGGTCCATAAGAATAATTGACTGCATGTATATTTTTAATGATTTTTTGAATGATTAAAAAAATAAAATGCATGTCGTATTAGATGCTTATTTTGTAGAGAGGTATGATGACATTTCTAAAATCTATGATGCTTGTTTTGTAAGCTTGACGTGTATTAAGTCCACAGCCCTACACGGCATATTTCATGTATGGGTTTAATAGTGAGTTGGTGTCATGTACATCTGTTGTGATAGTATTACTTCATGCAAGTGCAGTCTCTTTATTCTTTAATGGGCTGAGCATGCCATAAAGGCATCATATTATTTTATTTTTTAACTGATAAGTAACAATTGTAGATAGATGATGATTTTGATGATGAAGAGGTTGTAATAAGAATGTGTGTTGGGACTGCATTTTCAGTCATGGTTATGATTTTGACATTTTTTAGGAGAATGAAGTGTCGTCGTAGATCAATACGGTGTGGACCAAATGAAGAAAGACTAAGGTAGCAAAAAACTAGGGCGGAGTTGATGAATCATATATATCACGGTTATAGTGATAGATGTTAAAACTTTGTTAGAATCTGCTCAGGTGCTTTTATGAAACTAGCAAAGATTATGAGGGGAAAAAATCTCTTACAGAACTCAAGGCATATAACAGAAGAGGAGCAACTTGCCATTACATTGAAAATATTGGGCCATAAATCCCAAAATTGTATTTTGAGAACATATTTTATAAGATCAGGGGAGACAGTTAGTAGATACTTCAACAAAGTATTACAAGCTATTTCCTACATACAAGGCCGATATATGAAACAAGCACTGAATGAAGTGCCCCAAGAGATCCTAAACAATCCATCATTTTATCCATTTTACAAGGTATATCATCCACGCTACGAAATTATGCAAATAATTTTCTAATCAATCATATCTTACATTAACATAGTAAGTTGTTGTACTCTATAGGATTGCATAGATATGATAGATGAGACACATGTGGATGCTATGCTACCTGCTAGCCTTGTTGCGTGTTTCAGAGGGCGCAAATGTGTCACACAAAATATTATTGCCGCTTGTACACCAAACAAACTGCTCACCTACGTTTTAGCTGGGTGGGAGGGATCGACTAATGACTATAAAATCCTTCAAGATGCTCTGTCTAGACCACAACCATATGGCTTACGGGTCTACACTGGTAACAATCTCGTTAACTCCTCAAATTAATTACTCAATTGTCTAATATTCCTCACTAATAATTACATGGTCATATCTCATAAAAATTATGAGTGTAATATGTAGGTAAATATTACTTGTGCGATGCGGGGTACGCAACTATGCCATATTTTATATCTTTATATCGTGGTGTTCATTACCATCTAAAGGAATTTATGGGGAGAACGCCTCAAAATAGGAGGGAGTTATTCAATATTAGTCATTCATCTTTAAGGTCAAAGATAGAAGCTACCTTTGGTATTTTGAAGAATCGTTTCAAGATTCTCACGGCAAAACCCCACTACCCCTTCCCCGCACAAGTTGACATCGTTTTAGCATGCACAGTTCTCCATAACTACATTGTAACAGTCGGTCCAAATGATGATTTGCTCAATGGGACCATCGACATTAAAGAGGATGATGCTGAAGAGAGAATTGATGAAGAAAACGACGTTATTGATTTCACGGGGTCCCAAACACAAAGAGAACAAAATGCCTCAAAGGATGAGTGGAAGTTTTGCAGAGATCAAATCGCTTTGGACATGTGGATTGATTATTATAATAAATACTGGCATAGTGTCACCACTGAGTCTGCCTTATGATTTGCTACGGCTTTTGACATTTAGTAGTACTTTATGTTTTGTATTTGTGTACCTTAAGACTTTGATGTTGTTGACTAGGGCTTTGTTGTTAGACTATTATGGTGGTAGTTAGTTCTTGTCGTGATATCACATTTGCTTTGATTTTAGTTTGAGTGAGATTTCTTATTTGATGCTTTAATCTCATTTATTGCAATCATTTACAATTTCTGTTTTGTCTTAAATTTACGACTCACATTGTTTGGATGAGTGGAATTACATTTGTTGAAAGTATAGGATTAATGGGTAATAAATCAACGACCGAAGGGTATGATTTGGTCATTTAGTAGTACTTTATGTTTTGTATTCGTGTACCTTAAGACTTTGATGTTGTTGTGTGACTTTGATTAATTATGGTGGTAGTTAGTTCTTGTTGTGATATCACATTTGATTTGTTTTTAGTTTGTGTGAGATTTCTTATTTGATGCTTTAATCTCATCTATTGCAATCATTTACAATTTCCATTTTGTCGTATTTTTATGATTCATATTTATTTTTTGAGAATTACATTTGTTGAAAGTATAGGAATGGGTGATAAATCAACCACCGAAGGGTATAATTTAGACAAAGGGAGGACTACTACTCATTCCCCAACTTCAATGTGTTCAACCGTAGTTTCATGTTGTTTCAGTCATCCTCACCATTTGTGCAACCACCATCTGTTTTCTCAAAGGTTTCGCATTATGAGGGTAACTTTTCCCTATGCATCACCCTATTTCATCTTACATGCACTTGCTCAGTAGTCCACCATCTTTTCCTCAACATTTTCAAGGCTCATATTCCTCCGGACAAGTTTTATCTCCAACTAGTGTTATAGGGAGTACTTTTGATTCAGGTTAATAATAAAAGAGTGGAAAATGAAGTAATAGCAACTTCAGCAACCCCTCAAAGAAAATATAAATCTCTTGCCCATAAGAAAAGAAAAATTCCTATTGAGTCTGACACTACAAATGTGGCCCTAACCAGATGGTGGACCTCTGCTCATGAAGACGTGCTCATACCCTTTCTTGTAAATTTGGCAAAGTCTGGTTTTAAACCAGATAAAAACTTTAAGCAACATGCTTTTGCAATGACAGCCGCTGAAGTGAACAAGTAATTTGGAACTACCTTTGTTACGAAAAGTGTTGTTAACCATATGAAAACAATTAGTTCCTGGTTTCAAGATATGCAGGCTACTCGTAATATTAGTGGTGTAGGTTGGGATGAACAAACACAAACTATCGTCATGGATCTCGAGGGTTTTGATACTTAGAATGAGGTAAAAGGTTATTGTTCATCTATTCATTTTCATTTTGGTACGATTACAATTTATTCTCCTATATATTATACAAGTAACTACCTTTATGTATGTAGGATAAAAATAAAAACAGGCTTAAAGATTACATCAATAAGCCTTTGAAGCATTATGAGAATCTAGCTATCATTTATGGGGATGATCAGGCAAGAGGGAACTTTGCAAAGGCTTCCATCGAGAAATTTAGTGGTCATGAGCCTATTAACCTTGTGGATGACGACAATGATGATGTCAACATTCCTATGACTCAAAAGTCCCCTCACACGGTCAACTTAGATGAAGATAATCAATCCCAAAACAACAACGGTAAGGTAACATTCCAGGACAAGGCTAGAAAAATATCTTCTTAAAAAGGGAGGATGAGAAAGGCACACTTTGAGCATGAGATCATGCGACATATGGTAGATGAAGTAAAACACTTTTCTTCATCTATCAAAGATATTAATCTGCACTGGATAGATAAATTGTCCAAAGCTATCTTCAGGCACAAAGACACTTACCCAATAGAAGTCCTTGAGCTTTTTTATGATAGCATATTTGAGAATGAAACCAAAGCCAGACATTTTATAGGTAAGAGTGACTTTAGCCAAAGGGCTTTGTTGGACAATTTCATGAAATTACAAGATGGAGGTAACTAGATTGGGGATGAAGGTAGGCATTTCAATAAATGCTTTTTTTGTTGCATTATCTCAACTAATTTAAGTTAAGCTGAAACATTATCTTGTTATTTACAGGAATATTTTTGGAGGTGGTTGGGTCATTTTTATTTTGCACACTGACCCAAACAATGTCGTAGTGTAGTGGGTTCATGATGTTTCATTGCTACGTTGATGGGTATGATTGTTGGTGGGTACATAATGTTATTATGTCATGTAAAATTTTAGTTGGTAGGTACATAATGTTATTATGTCGTGTAAAATTTTAGTTGGTGGGTATGACTGTATATTTTTGGATACGAGGCTCCATTGCTACATTCTGGGTACATGATGTTTCTGTATGTATTTATAATGTGATGCTTTTGCTGGAGGGAAGCAGCTTAATTTATGTCATACTGGTTTTTTGGTTAATTGCAGGTGTACATTAGATGCCATGACATGATTTAAGTGTCACATTCATCGAGAATACTCACTGGTATGACAAACTGTCACTTTTTTGTATTCCTAGAATGATGTTATGATGAGTGCATGCAAATGATATATGCAATCACATGTAACTTAACACTGTTAAGGCGAGGCAATTTCATATTGGCATGAACAATGTATTATATTGCAGCCTACAATTGTTAAAAACACATTGTTCTTGCATTACTGATTGTTGATGACCAACTTGAGCATTGTTTATTGACACTTTGTATACATATGCACAACCCGCAGCTTTTGTTATTTAAGAATGTCTATATATACTTCGTGCAGTGATGATTGTCTTCTTCTGATATTCTCAACCAGTAATTTTACATGCAATATTTTGGCGAGGCAGTCCCACCATTTACTTATTGAGGTAAGTAATCTTTCAGGTATGCAGCCAACATTGTGAATCAATCATTTACTGGTGTTGGATATATGATGATGTAGACAAATATCTGAGCACATTTTGTCGTACTTTGATTATCATTCTCACAGATGGTTTTTAGATTATGTTTTTCTGATATGATGATGAAGAACTAGGTTATCTTTGAGGTTTGCTTTCATGTCTAAATTCATATTCTTTTTTTTGTTTTAATTTTTTACACTTTTCACGTATGTTAGCAAAGTTTGTTTTCTGACATGATGTTCAAACACAGGGTTTTTCCCTTGCATCTTAACCCCAGATTGCATAACTTTGAGCTTCATAGTTCTGTTGTCACATGTGAGTGGTAATTGTTGTTTTCCTCAACATTTTAAAGAATAAAAATTTTGTTAATGCCTCTTAGCATCCTATTTCACTACTAGTCATTATTGCTCTTGATTTACATAGATCTGTACATTTTCTGATGCATTTTAAAGCAATACCCAGCTTGTTATGATTTAGAACTGTGCGTTCGAAAGCTTAACACAGAGTTCGACCTCTGCGTTGACAAAATTCAACGCCAGGTTTGAACTGTGCGTTCGAAAGCTTTCACTTTTCTAAGGATTTTGACTAAGGTTCCCTTTGTTTTATTTCCTCGTTGACTAATTGAGTACTTTTCTCTTTTGCAGTGCCTTACTCCCGCGAACCTCTTACTCTTCGTCACCATTTCGGGCGCGAGGGTGGCGTGGATGTAAATATGCAATTCAATCTGCGTCAAGAACTCCCAATTTTTCAGGATGCAGACAAGGATCGTGTTACCCTGATTTCCCATCCAAGTCCAGCTGTACTCAGGATTTTGGTGACAGATGCCAAATTCGAAACCGACTCCCGCAAAAAGCTCACCAAACCGACATTCCTGTTTGGCGATCATGTCGTCATCAAAAAAGAGATTGTGACTGACGGCCATTATAAGTGGTTGAGGCAAATAGGAGATCGCCGCTTCTTCCTTCCTGATATGCATAGGATGTTTCCTATCGCTTATTATCAGTGTGCTTCCGTCCCTCGACATATGGATTGGGAACTTGTCCGGGAGCAGGATGGGGTAGCTATCGGGGCTTTGACTTACACAGGTGTACACACTGTAGGTTACAATCGACAGGTGTCAGCTTTGGAGCCCTGCTTATTCTCACGGGGGTATCCTTTAGGGGAAACGGCTAGCACAACCAACACTTTTATGCGAAGGTTTCTGGCCGCGAAAGGAGAGTTCCCTTCCTCAGTATTTAGGGCTCCTGGATGGGTACACTCTACCGAGACAGGATGGTGGACACGAATGACGGAATTCATGATGACAGAGTTAGAGAGATCATTAGCTCAATCTGGGCTTGGTTGCCCTATAATGGCTACCAGATACGGCATTGACTATAACTATTACAATTTTTTCGCTGTTCTGGAGAAATACAACCCGGAGACGTGTACATTCTTCACACCTGTGGGAGAATTAGGGTTTGCCCTCCACAAAATGTATGACGTTTCGGGTCTTCCTTTTGGAGACTTGCCCTATGAGGAGTTCATCCTGGGGTCAAATGAGCTTAGGATTTTGAAGGAGATGTATCCTGACGTCTATGACACTCTATGGGAAGTAATGTGTCATTTTCAAATCTGCACCCAACTGACGGGGACACGAGGACGTGGTATAAAGCAGTTATCCTGGGCTGAATATCTATTCCAGAATTTGTCCCACAAAACTGCCGTTGTGTCTCGCCGGAGCGTGAGTACCCCTGAGATGATCCAAGCTTTAATCAACGACGCTACGGCCCATTATGTCAACGAGGGATTAGAAGAGGATTTCCCTGCGCAGACTGAGTTTGAAAGTTTTCATCACCAGGCTGCTGTGCCTCTTTCTGACATGGCCTTGTTGGCGGGCTTTCTCATGTTGTGGCTAAAGCGATGTGTCGTCCCTACGAGGCCCGTAGATGCTGTGATGATAGAAGTAGTCTACCTGGCTGTCCTTTTAGCTCACGGGAGACCTGTGAACTTACTTTCAGCTATGACGTGCTGTTTGCAGCATGGTTTGAGGGAGTTGTGTCTCGAATTCATTCAGGTGAAGGAGATAGACTCTGAAGGAAAGAAAAGTTTGGTGACACCAAATCCTCGAGTTCCTCTGCCGTATACCTATTTGATGGCA